CCCTCCCATCCCCATCCCACCATCCCTCCCTGCCTCTGTGGCAGGGCGAATATTCCGTTTTGTTCTCTTTCTCCTTTTGGGTGCTGTGGTTTGCAAAAGAGGCATTGAGTGGCAGTCATGTTTAGTCTATAGTCTACTTTCAGCTTGCATCTCCCATCCTGGGAGGATCCTCCCAACATCCTTTATTTGGTGCTCCCTTCTCTAACTGAGCTGCCTTTCCCCCTACCATGTGCGGCTGGCTTCCAAGCTATGAAGTAAACCTCCTGGTACTTATCTCGGCTATTGTTGGGTGTTAGTCTCCTATTTTGTTACTTTATGTTCTCCAGATTAATGCAATCTTTCTATGTCTGTCCCTCTCGTTCTAACTCATTTCACTTATTTAGCATGATACTTTCCATGTAGTACTAGTTGTATGTAAATTTCATGAACAGTTTGTAAGGGTATATCTCACAGTGATTCAATAAAAAAAATAAAATAAATTTTTCAAAAAGAAATTGTTGTCATATACAGCTATTAGAATAATGAAGAATATTTGATTTTACACTATGAAATGGCCCTAAGACATTTTATTACTATTAATAGTAAAGCATATTTTTTCAGTGTATTGATGAGTATTGGCGGCAGATTCTTCAGGTGTTCGGGTCTGACCTTGTCTGGACCAGGTGCTATACACTTTTTTACCAAAAAAAATGGCGTGGCGGATTTTGGAAGGGAGAACACTGGAAATGACATATCCATCCTGCGGAATTTGGTATGTAGCAGGTGGATGTAGCTATCAAAGAAATCTGAGCAGGACATCGGAGGGCAGTCATCTTGGTCTTGTAGTTGGCAAATGATAGGCAGGTGTAGCGAATACTTTTCCCAGCTTCTGCTGCATCGGCCAACACTTCTGCTCTTCTCTCTTTGAGGTCTTCCTTTATTGCTTTTCTGCACAGCTTTGTGAGCACGGATGTTAGCTTGTGATTGCCTGAGGCTCATGCCAAATGATGCTGCTGAATGAGCTCAAGAGTTTCCAAAGACAGGAGTCTTTTTGTGGCTCTCTCTCTCTCTCTCTCTCTCTTTCTCTGTGTGTGTGTGTGTGTGTGTTCCTCGCACAATCATGGAGGTGCTGAACCAGTCGATTGTATTCCTCGTCGATGTCGATGTTGTCAACGATGGCACCTTCCCATATTGTCACAGTAGAGCCAAAGAGCTCCCAGTTGGTGGTTGTTCTGGGAGTTCTCTTCTTGAACTTTGCAGCCCTTTCTCCCTGCTCCATGAAGTAGAATTTTGCACGAAGGAGACGGTGGTCTGATCCCGTTTGGAATTTTTGTATAACAGCAACATTGGTCAGGCAAAACTGTAAATTGAATAATATGTGATCAATTTCATTGTGGAACTGTCCACTGGGAGACTCCCATGTCCAATGTTTAGGTTCGGCCTTCTGGAACTGCGAGTTACCATGGATGGTCTTGGTCAACATGATGAACTCAGACAGTCTCTCACCCTGTTCATTCCATTCTAGGTTATGAGTCCCAATGTGGAGTTCTTCAGGTGATCTTCCCGGTCCTATCTTGGCATTAAAATCAAATTATAGAACTTCTCCAGCTTCATGTAGAACTTCTAAATTTCTTCTTCGTCATAGTTGGATGTTGGTGGGTAGACAACAGAGATAGAAACTGCTGGCAATAAGCCACATTTATTCAAACACAAGTATCCTATTCGGGTTGTTAGGTATTCAAACGAATCAATGCTGACATCATCAACACCTCTACTGTCGCATGTTCCAAGGAACATGTGTCAAAAACAGCGTGATGTGATCAATGCCTTCTCGTTTTGGTCAATGCAATGACGTCGTACTTGGTCTTCTGCGCTTGCACCATCAGGTCATGGATGGATGCTTTCGATGCCAGAGTTCATGAGTTAAAAGTGCAGATAGTCATTTTTGTCCTTCGTTTTGGCAGCCTAGTTCGACACTGAGATTTTAGTAGCCTCTCCTTGTTCGTCCTTCTCAGTGCTCCTGTATTGGGGGCTCTTCCAGGGTCAGGGGAATGAGGCCCATTTTTTTTACTGTTTTTGGCATATCGAATATGCCACGGGTAGCTTGCCAGGCTCTGCTGTGTAGATGGCATGTTGTAAAAATTTGTGTTCTTTCACTCTTTGTCGGTTGGTACCATTGCCGCCCTCTCCAGGATGAGGCGGTGAACCATCGAGGTCAGTGAATCTTCCTATTCCTCACTTATCTTCAGAGTTCATATAGTCAGTTATATGCACATAATTTTATAGTGGTTCTAGAGAAGATGAAAGGAAAGAGTCTCTGAGTCACATTCATAAAAAGCAACATAGAGGAAAGAGAGTTGTAGGGTTGATAAATATCATTATCTTTATTTCACTGCCTTTCATGCTCACTTGATATTTCCACAAAGAAATTACTCCCAAGGTTTTTCATCTTCCTTTATTCCATCCCAATTTTACTGAAATAATAATTCCCTTTTATCATTGCAAATCAAGTTCCCAATTACCCCAGGATACAAATTGCTTTCTTGAAGGTAAATTGGCAAATCCTTCATACCGTGGACATATTAAGATATGTATAAAAGTGACTAGTCTTTAGATGAATTCAAAAACTGGGTAAAAAGCACAAGTACTTGTTTGCATCAATCACACAGCTAAAGAGGCCCCAGGATTACTGCAGTAAGAATGAGATTCATCATGATCAATCACAATGATCATAATAGGCAATACATTATTGATTTTACTATAAATATTGTAAGGCTTGCTCGACCAAATGGTGACTGTCTCTGAAATAGCAACACTCCTAGAATCAAAGATCACCCTCTCCCCAGCCAGAGGACACATTTATAATCCACCCAGAAAGCTATGAGGCTGTATTTCATGCTCCCTCACATCAGAACCTCCTACAGATGACAAGAAGGCCAGGTCCAACACATCCCACTGGTGTTTGCACCTTTTCCTACCCAAGACACTTAAAAGCCCCCTTAATCTCTCCCAGGTCAAAACTCTAACACAGCCAGTCCAGGGGCCAATGTAGAGTCCATCCGGGAATGCACCACAATAAATTTCTATTCCTTCATTTTTACTGTCTCTTTCCCTATATCTTCACTGGACAGGGTCCCCAGTCTATAAAATATGCTGTTTTATATTGTCCCCAATCTAACAAATATGCTGTTCTATACTATAGTATATTGTAAGAACGTTACTAAAAAGAAAATGTAAATATATCATTTGAGTAGAAATCCACACATAACTAGTACGACACTGGGACCAAGACTATTGCCAAGAAATCCTCATGGTGATGGGCTCTTGCCCATCCATGGGAGAAGAATCACAGGACAGAGCTGAGGCACATGAAATCAGGTTTATTTCTCCTTGACACGAGGAAAACTCTTGAGTGGGAATACCCAGAGTGCTTCAGTAGCAAACACAAGTTCTCAAAAGAGCTTTATAGCTTTCTGGTTTCGTACCCAGGACACAGCCTGAGCACCTGATTCTTACAAGGTGATCTGGAGGAGAGAGACAATTAAAATATAAACGTTCTGGGACTGGAGTAATAGCACAGTGGGTAGAGCATTTGCCTTGCACACGGACAACCCGGGTTCAATTCCCAGCATCCCATATGGTCCCCTGAGCACGTCCAGCAGTGATTCCTGAGTGCAGAGCCAGGAGTAACCCCTGAGTATCTCTGGGTGTGACCCAAAAAGATATATATATATATATATATATATATATATATATATCTTCATCTGGTTATTCTAAATATCACATATAAATCCAATATTTTAAAATAGGCATGCCCAGATCAACCTTCAGCCCAGAGTACAGGGAGGAGAAAGACTGGAGAAGAGAAGGGGCCAGATCGGGGGATTAAAGTCAAAGGTGGTGGTCAAGAATGATGGAGCCAAGTATCCAAACTACAGGGTCAACAACACTGAAACCAAGACTTCAACAACCAAACTTAGCAAAGTGCCTGACAAGAGGGAAGATTGGGAGGTGGGAAGAGGGGTATGGAGGGAATCTGTGCACATTGTCATTGGTGGAGGAGTGAGGGAAGTTGGCACTGGTGGTGGGATTGGTGTTGCAATACTGGATGTCTAAAACTCAATTATGAGTAACCTTGTAAATCACAGAGCTTTAATAAAATATGAAGAAGAAAATAGAAATGTACTAATAAAGAAATTGATTATCACTATTAAAAAAAAGTCTAGTTTCCCAAGCTTGGGAAGCAAGAAGAAATGGTTTGAGTTTGAAGTCTTTGTTAGCTTTTACTCCCTGCTGTGGAGCCTTCATGGCTGAGGCCAATCCAACCCAGAAACCTACTCCACATCAGAAAGGGCAATCTTCATTTGCACTCTTCATAGTTGATATTTTAAATAGCATACGCTATAATAATACTAAACTAGTGTCAAAATTCCTGAGGAATAGTAGTCTGTTCATCACTCAAGTATTGTTTACACACAGAGTGTACTGGGTCAAAGCTGAAGGTTTCCTTTCATTGACATATATTATTTTTCAAATACTTCATAATGTGATTTTAGTTCAGAAAGTCTATATAGCTCATAAAAATCAAAATTAACGCTTAGGATTATTTTGTTGCTGATCAATCCATAAAGAGATCATTTGAGACAGGAAAAATAGAATGTAATCACAGCTAACCCCTGCACAATTAGACAAAAATGAAGAGAGACTCAAATTCCCTCTAGTTGCAATGTAAAGACTCTCTGACCTGGTGTCTTCACTGGATAATGCTTAATAAATGATGTTTTTATGAATTGATATGCCAAAAACAGTAATAACAAGTCTCACAATGGAGACGTTACTTGGCCCACTAGAGCAAATCGATGAACAACGGGAAGGCAGTGACAGTAACAATAAATGAAGGAAGAAATACACGAAGACATCATAAGTGGTAGAATGCTGAAAGCTTCTTTGTTGATAACTTATAGAGATGCACAAAAGCAAATTAGCTCTCTCTAATCAACAAAAACAACTCTACCACAGGTTCACGGAGAATGTAGGTAGATCTTCAACATCTCACAAACTGATTCTTCAGGCAAATAACAATGGATATCATTCCAGCCCCATTGGCGGTTAAAAATTAATGCAACACAATGTTCATCATCATTACTGGGTTCACCTTCGTGCCAGAACCTGGAAAAGGAGAACAGGGTAAGTATGTTTCTCAAAATGTCTTTGAGAAGAGACAGTGAAGCAAGAGTTGCCATAGAACACTATGGAGGTCAGGTCAGAGACACACAAATCATCGCTTCCCTGTTCCTCGCACATGGCTCATCCATATGTTGCTGGCATTTCCACTGAAAATGGTGCTGCCATCCCCCACAGCTGCCCCATCCCCTTGTGTTAAACACCCTCCCTGCAGATAGACCTGCCTCCCTCAGTCCATGCTTGTGCCCTGATTCCATGGGCTCCTTTACTAATCAAAAATTTTTATTGTGGTCATAACAATAGAGTGGGCTTTTTTATGTACTACCTTTGTAGTATGAGACTTGTTTAAAATATCTTGTATTTGAGTAGTCACGTGGCACTCCTCTCGTCTCAAACCCAGGTCAGCCCTGCCCCTGGTGTGTGGCCCCGGGACTTCCATCTCTCCCTTCGGGACCTCAGGCATCCCGGCAGACGCCTGGAGAAACGCAGCCATGAGCGGCTGCCGTCCCCTCTCCAGTAGTCACGCGGCGCTCCTCTCGTCTCAAACCCAGTTTTCCGTAGAGGTGTGGCCTCTTCAGAAGTGGGCGTGGCTTCAGAGTGGGCGTGGCCTATTTTCCGGCCAGCGGCCGCTTACATGGCTACAGGTTGTTTACTCATTCAAAGGAACCTAGTTCCCAAGGAATTTAGTCCCCACCCTACTCAGCAATATGAAGAAACAAAGAAAATCCCCACCTCAAGTGGAGGACAACAAAAACAATCCAGAACATTCTGTCGATACAGCTCACCTAAGGGATCTCTCTGACACAGAATTCAGATATGAAGTCATCAAGATGTTCAATCAACTCAATGAAACGGTCAGACAGACAGCCAGTAACACCACAGAAAAAATCGACAAATTACGCGAAGAAATGAGAGCAGAAATGTCACGATTAAAAGACTCCGTAGATGAAATGAGAAACTCAGTTTCTTCTCTTAAAAATAGAATGACCGCAGCTGAAGAGAGAATCAGTGAGCTGGAAGATCAGCTGCGCCAAGCCAACACGGAACAACAAACAGTGGCAAGGGACCTCAAAATAGCTTTTCAGAGAATCAGAGTCCTAGCAGATGATTCCAAGAGGAACAACATTAGAATCATGGGACTACCTGAACCTCAGGGAAACAATCCCAACAAAAAAAACACCGTCAAACAAATCATTGCTGAAAAATTCCCAGAGCTCTGCAATGCAGCCATTCAGGTTCAAGAAGCCCGAAGGGTGCCAGCTAAAAGAGACCCCAACAAAAACACTCCAAGGCATATCATAGTTAGAATGATTGATGCTGCCGATAGAGACACAATACTGCAAGCAGCAAGGGCAAAGAAGGAAATCACATACAAAGGAGCACCCCTTAGATTCACAGCAGACCTATCAGAGGAAACCCTGCAAGCCCGAAGGCAGTGGCAAGATATAGTCAAAAAACTCACTGAAATGAATGCTTCACCAAGAATACTCTATCCAGCTAAACTCTCCCTCAAAATCGAAGGAACAGTACACTATTTTCTAGATAAACAGCAGCTCAGGAACTTCATAGACTCAAAACCAAACCTAAAGCAAGGCCTAAAGGGGCTACTATAAGACAAGACAAACCCTACAACCACAACACACCCTACAGAAAATGACACAAAACCCCATAACCATACTCTCTCTCAATGTCAATGGTCTAAATTCACCATTTAAGAGACACAGAGTGGCAAAATGGATACAGAGACAGAACCCAACATTCTGCTGCCTACAAGAAACTCATCTCAACAGCCAGAACAAACACAGACTCAAAGTCAAAGGATGGAAAACAATCCTGCAAGCAAACAGCCCTTTCAAAAAAGCTGGGGTGGCCATACTAGTATCCGACAACATTAATTTCACATTGAAAAAGATTAGAAGGGACAGTGAAGGCTATTTTCTCTTCATCAAGGGATACATACAGCAGGAAAAAATCACACTCTTAAATGTATACGCACCTAATGAGGGAACAGCTAAATATCTAAAACAACTGCTAACAGATTTTAAGGAGGACATCGCTACCAACACAATAGTACTTGGAGACTTCAACATCGCCTTATCAACTCTGGATAGATCAACAAGAACAAAACCCAGCAAGGAATTATTGGCTTTGAAATAAGAAATAGAAGAGAAAGGGCTTATGGACTTATACAGGGCTTTACACCCCAAAAAGAAAGAATACACATTCTTCTCCAGTGTGCACGGAACATTTTCCAAAATAGACCATGTCTTAGGACACAAAACATACCTCAACAGAATCAGGAAGATAGAAATAGTATCAGCCATCTTTTCAGACCATGACGCACTGAGGATAGAAGTGAATCACACACTGACATGGAGAACAAAATCAAACACCTGGAAATTAAACAACTCGATGCTGAACAATGAGTGGGTCAAGAACGAAGTCAAGGACGAAATCAAAAGATACCTGGAAACAAATGAGAATGAAGACACAAACTACCAGAACTTATGGGATGCAGCAAAAGCTGTATTAAGGGGAAAATTTATAGCTCTGCAAGCATATCTTAGGACTGTAGAAACGATGCACATAAACAACTTGACCTCACAGCTCAAGACCTTAGAAAAGGATCAACAGAAAGAGCCTAAATCAGGCAGAAGGAAAGAGATCATAAAACTTAGAGCAGAAATCAACGACATGGAAAACAAAGAAACAATCCGAAAGATCAATAAAACCAAGAGCTGGTTCTTCGGGAAAATAAATAAGATCGATAAACCACTAGCAACACTCACAAAGAAACAGAGAGAGATAGCCTTAATAAATCGAATCAGAAATAAGAATGGGGATATCACAACAGAAACTAAAGAAATTCAAGAGATCATCAGAGACTACTTTGAAAGTCTGTATGCCACGAAACAAGAGAACCTAGAAGAAATGGATAAATTCCTGGATTCCTATCATCTCCCAAAGCTGAAGCAAGAAGATATAGAGTACCTGAATAGACCTATTCACATCAAGGAAATTGAAACTGTAATCAAAAGTCTTCCCAAAAACAAAAGCCCAGGTCCAGATGGATTTACTAGCGAATTTTTCCAAACATTTAAAGAGGACCTATTGCCAGTTCTTCTCAAGCTTTTCCAGGAAATTGAAAAAACAGAAACTCTCCCAAACAGTTTCTATGAAGCCCATATCTCTCTAATACCAAAAGGAAACAAAGACACCACAAGAAAAGAAAACTACAGGCCAATATCCCTGATGAACACGGATGCGAAGATTCTCAAAAAAATACTAGCCAATAGAATTCAACAACTCATCAAAAAGATCATACATCATGACCAAGTAGGATTCATCCCAGGGATGCAAGGATGGTTCAACATTCGGAAATCAATCAACATAATCCATCATATCAACAAAAGAAAGGATAAAAATCATATGATCATATCAATAGATGCAGAAAAAGCATTTGACAATATCCAGCACCCATTCATGATGAAAACCCTTGCCAAAATGGGGATAGAGGGGACTTTCCTCAATATAGTTAAAGCCATCTACCACAAACCTACAGAAAACATCATCCTCAATGGGGAAAAACTGAGAGCCTTCCCCCTAAGGTCAGGGACGAGACAAGGATGCCCACTCTCTCCACTGCTGTTCAATATAGTACTGGAAGTACTTGCAATAGCGATTAGGCAAGAAAAAGATATTAAGGGCATCCAGATAGGGAAAGAAGAAATTAAGCTCTCACTATTCGCAGATGAAATGATACTATACTTAGAGAACCCTAAAACCTCTACCAAGAAACTCCTAGAAACAATAGACTTGTATAGTAAAGTGGCAGGCTATAAAATCAATACCCAAAAATCCATGGCTTTCCTATATGCAAATAATGAAAGAGAAGAAAGTGACATGAAGAAAACAATTCCATTCACAATTGTGCCCCAGAAAATCAAGTACCTAGGAATCGCCTTAACTAAGGAAGTAAAGGAAGTAAAGGAAGTACAAAGAAAACTACAAAACGCTACTTCGGGAAATAAAAGAGGACACGAGGAAATGGAAAAATATCCCCTGTTCATGGATGGGGAGAATCAACATTGTCAAAATGGCAATACTTCCCAAGGCACTGTACAAATTCAATGCAATCCCTATAAGGATACCCACGACATTCTTCAAAGAAATGGAGCAAACACTCCTGAAATTTATATGGAACAATAAGCCCCCACGAATTGTTAAAGCAATTCTTGGGAAAAAGAAAATGGGAGGAATCAACCTACCTAACTTCAAGCTCTACTACAAAGCAGTAATAATCAAAACAGCATGGTACTGGAACAAAGGCAGAGTTGCAGACCAATGGAATAGAGTTGAATATACTGACATCTCCTCCCAAACATATAATCATCTAATCTTCGATAAGGGGGCAAGAAAAGTGAAATGGAGCAGGGAAAGCCTCTTTAATAAATTGTGCTGGTAAAACTGGACGGCTACATGCAAAAAAGTGGGCTCAGATCTCTGCCTAACGCCATGCACAAAAGTAAGATCGAAATGGATTTATGACCTCAACATCAGACCGGAATCCATAATGTTTATTGAAGACAAAGTTGGCAAAACTCTCCACGATATTGAAGTTAGTGGTATCTTCAAAGACGTCACGCCACTGGCCGAGCAAGTGAAAACAGAGATAGACAAATGGGACTATCTTAAACTAAGAAGCTTCTGCACCTCAAAAGAAACAGTGACTAAAATACAAAGACAGCCTACAGAATGGGAAAGAATATTCACCAAATACACATCCGACAAGGGGTTGATTTCAAGTATATACAAGGTACTGGTTAAACTACACAAGAAGAAATCACCCAACCCCATCAAAAAATGGGGCGAGGAAATGAACAGAAACTTTTGCAAAGAAGAAATCCGAATGGCAAAAAGGCACATGAGAAAATGCTCTACATCACTAATCATCAGAGAGATGCAGATCAAAACAACAATGAGATATCATTTCACACCACAGAGACTGGCCCACATCCACAAGAACAAAAGCAACAGGTGCTGGCGCGGATGTGGCGAGAAAGGGACCCTCCTTCACTGCTGGTGGGAATGCAAGCTGGTCCAACCCTTTTGGAAAACAGTATGGACGATTCTCAAAAAATTAGAATTCGATCTCCCATTTGACCCAGCTATAGCACTCCTGGGAATATATCCCAGAGAGGCAAAAAGGTATAGTCGAAGTGACATCTGCAATTGTTTTTTCATTGCAGCACTCTTTACAATAGCCAGAATCTGGAAAAAACCTGAGTGCCCGAGAACAGATGACTGGTTAAAGAAGCTTTGGTACATTTACCATTTACACAATGGAGTACTATGTAGCTGTTAGAAAAGATGAAGTTATGAAATTTACATACAAGTGGTACTACATGGAAAGTATCATGTTAAGCGAAATGAGTCAGAAAGAGCGGGATAGACACAGAAAGATTGCATTCATCTGGGGAACATAAAGCAACAAAACGGGAGACTAACACCCAGGAAGGGCTCAGATTAGTACCAGGAATTTTGCTCCATGACTTGAAGGCCAGCCTCATGTGCTAGGTGAGAAGGAAGCTCAGATAGAGAAGAGAGCACCAAATAAAGGGTGTTGTGAAGACCCTCCCAGGGTGGGAGAGACATGCTAAAAGTAGTCTATAGACCAAACATGATTGCCACTCAATGCCTCTCTGGCAAAACACAATACCCAAAAGAAGAGAGAGAGAACAGGGAGGAATGCCCTGCCACAGCGGCAGGGTGGGACGGGGGGGGGGGATGGGGGGTGGGAGGGATGCTAGGACCCGTGGTGGGGGAGGATGGGCACTGGTGGACGGATGGGTACTTGATCATTGTATAACTGAAACCCAAGCACAAAAATTTATAAGTCTATAAGTGTACTTCATGGTGTTTCACTAATAAAAAAAATGATAAAAAAAATAAAATAAAATAAAATATCTTGTATTTGATGCTTTAAGACCCTGCATAAGGTTGAGTCATTGAGGGCATCCTGTGGAGGGCTGGATGAGCCTAATGCCCGCTCAAACAAAGTCCCAGCACACTCCACAATCGCCACCATGCTCCTGGTCAGACTCCACTGCTCAGAATGAGCCTCATCCAGAAATGGATCCATGGGAAAAGCTCAGGGATGCAAAAAGTAGAGAGATTATGGGGGAAATTGTCTGCCATAGAGGCAGGGGAGGGTTGAGTTAGGGGGGTGGATACTGAGGACAATGGTGGTAGAAAATGTGCACTGGTGGAGGGATGGGTGCTTGATCACTGTAGGACTGAAACTCAAAATGAAAGCTTTGTATCTGTATCTCACAGTCATTCAGTTAAAAAGAAAAAAGAGGAAAAAAAAACTCAGGTATGCAGATGTTTTGAATGAAATCTCCAGGCTTTCACAGAGTTGGGGATGGGCTACCTCTCCTCACTTCTCTGTGCTTCTGGAAGCCCCAGCAATCTCACACACACATGCCCCGAAGCTGCCACTCAGTTAAACATTTAACCCTAGCCTTATCACCCCATTAAAAAAATTGGAATTCCAGAAGCATTTGCAGTTGTGCAACACCTCAAACTGTATAACACTGATAAACCAAGAGTAACATACCAGATTGAATGGGGTATAGTGTAAAAGACAACCAATCTCGATTAATAAAAGTTAGCCAGAAGGCTTAACCTGTACCAGCATCTTAGTAATCTCTTATACAAGAACCTATGGCTTCATGGTGAGATACAACAGTCTTCACTAGGTTTCTTCTAGGGAAATATTTTATGATCATTCTGTTAGCAAACTATTGATAACAAGCAATATAAAATAAATTATTGAGAGCCGGCTATCAGGCTGAAGGGCTGGTTAGAAAAGTTTGAGACAATGCTGGAGGGAAGGTGTAATGGTGGAGGGATTGGTGTTGGAATATTGAGTGCCTATAAAACAAATCATCGTGAACAACTTTGTATACCATAGTGTTTATATAAAGTTTCAGGGGAAAACAACAATTTTTCAAAATAAATAAAATTACAGTTCTTAGAATAAATATCTCTGATTCTACTACCGTGATCTAAGATCATTGGATCTTATTCTGTTCTTAATCTAAAAAAAATTGAACTAGAGTCTCTCCCTATATATTTCACATAGTTCCTATGAGTCTCTAAGGTATTGACTTACTAAATTGTACTAAAGGATCTAGGAGTTGGAAAAGGAGAGAGAGAGAGAACAGAAGGAAATGCCCTGCCACAGAGGCAGGATGGGATGAGAGGGAAGGGGGTGGGAGGGATACTGGGACCCGTGGTGGTGGAAAATGGGCACTGGTAAAGGGATGGGTACTTGATCATTGTATAACTGAAATCCCATCACAAAACTTTCTAAGTCTATAACTGTACCTCATGGTGTTTCACTAATAAAAAAATACAGTTAAAAATATTTTCTTTTAAAAAAATAAATAAAATAAAGGATCTAGGAGTTGGGTTTTTTGTTTTTGTTTTTGTTTTGCTTTTTGGCTCACACCCACCATTGCTCAGGGGCTACTTACGGCGGCTCTTCACTCAGGAATTACTCTTAGAAGTGCTTGGGGGAACATAACGCCTGCTACGGATAGATCCAGGGGAAGAGGAAGAGTGTACAAGGCAAACACCCTTCCTGCTGTACTAGCTCTCTGGGCTGAGGGTTTTTCACCTACATAAATATAAGATACATCTAGGACTATTAGAATTTGCTTTATGACAAGGTTTACATTTTAAGAATGGCTTTGATTTTCAGATCCTCCAAATTCCAGCAGGTGGGGGTCACACCCACCACCTGGCCCCCTGGCGCCGTGTAATCCCATCAGCGGCCAAGACTCAGAGACTATAAAATCCAGATCCCGGAACCGCGCGGCTGCGCGACATCTTATCAGAACTTTTTAATGACATCTTATTATCTCATTCCTACTTTGGACAAACTTGCAGGCTATCGAATGTAGCCTGCCCACAGGGCAGAGTCTGGCAAACTCCCCGTGGCGTACCAAATATGCCAAATACCAGTAACAATGATGGGTCTCATTCTCCTAAAGAGCCGTGAATATAATCTCAGGGCTAGGATGAAAGAGACGTTACTGGGGCCTGCTCGAGGCAATCGACGATTAACAGGATGATGAAATGAAAAAATGAAATGATTTTCCTTGACATATATTTTATTTCCTTGACATATATTTTATTATCTTCAATATGTAAATTTCACAAGTGCAGGCTTTCATATCAAATAAATCTGTGTTGGAAGAAAATCACTACCACAATAGAAAACTTTTCCTGAGTTATCTAAACTCTTTAAATTCAGTGTCCTGGGAGTTTTGCTCCATGACTTGGAGGCCAGCCACACATTCTAGGGGAAAAGGGAGCTCAGATAGAGAAAGGAGCATCAAATAAAGGGTGATGGGAGGATCCTCCCAGGATGGGAGAAGCATGCTGAAAGTAGACTATAGATCAAACATGATTGCCACTCAATGCCTCTTTTGCAAACCACAGCACCCAAAAGGATAGAGAGAACAGAAGGAAATGCCCTGCCACAGAGGCAGGGTGGGATGGGGGGGATGGGGGGTGAGAGGGATACTGGGATCTATGGTGATAGGAAATGGGCACTGGTGGAGGGATGGGTGTTTGATCATTGTATAATTGAAACCCAAGCACAAAAATTTGTTAATCTACAACTGTACCTCATGGTGTTTTACTAATAAATTTTTTTTAAGTTTCAAAAAAAATAATAAAATAAATTCAGTGTCCTGGGGCTGGAGAGATAGCACAGCGAGTAGGGCGTTTGCCTTGTACTTGACCGAACTGGGTTATATTCCCAGCATCCCATATGATCCCCTGAGCACCGCCAGGAGTAATTTCTGAGTGCATGAGCCAGGAGTAACCCATGTGCATTGCTGGGTGTGACCCAAAATAAAAAATAATAATAATAAAATAAAAATAAATTCAGTGTCCTTATTTCTACAAAGAGGAAGAGAAAATGATGCTCTATAGACTTCTTGAGGTGATTAGTAGAAGAATACAAATTCAAACATGCAAACTAATGTCCAGAAGTTATATTTGAGCTCTATTGTTTTAAAAGCTGCAGTGGGAGCACCCTAAAGTCCCTACAGTCTGCAGGACTCAGGATCCCCTTACCAAATTCAATACTCACGTAACATTTTGATTGTATGGTATCTCATTAACCCATTCCCAGTGTCCATTCTTCAGATCTGACAGCCCCAAATAATAAGCATATTTCCTGTTCACATTCTCGTTAATAAAGTCCTAGGAAAGAATGAAGTGAGTTAGGGTGATGTAGAATTTCCCTAGATTTGAATTTTGTTAACCCTTAGGAGAAAGAGCACCAAAATGAAAGGGTCCATGGAAAGGTACCCAGAGTTCCGGGCCAGAGGTCTAGGTCTTCTGTGACTTAACAACACAGGATCAAAGGCATCTCCTGGAAAAATGTGTTTGTCTCATGTTTTCAGGTCTCTCTACAAATCTCCACAGACAGGGCAGCATACAAACAACTGAAATAGTTATGCAAACTGATTTCCACAGATTAGAAAATAGAGTCTGATCAGTAAATGAGCCCTTATCCTCTTCAAAATTGCTCTCATAGTGAACTTATATGGAGAGAAGGAATAGAAGTATGAGGGGTCTCCTTTCTAAGAACACGAATGCCGTTCATGAAAGCTCCTGTCTCCTACCTAAGGATGCTCCACTGACACAATTTCCTAAATCCCTTTGGCGATTGTGATTTTAATTTAGGAATTCTTAGCAGAGTCCATTACAGAACTGCAGTGCAGAGCACACGGGGCAGAGATTTCTGTTTGTGCTCACGTGAATCACCATCTCACACAAACCACCACTTTATCAGTAGGAGATGGGAATCTGCAAAGCTCTAGAGAAGAAATTTTTCATATGAATTCTCTTTCCTTTGATAACTTTTAAGTTAGTAAACTTCATCACTGTTTATTCCTTTCCTATTTCACTAATGGTTTCTCTCAGTTGATCATGTATTGTTTATTTCTTCTTTCTGCTTATATTTGTGGAAGTTGTTGTCATTTTGGGGCTGGAATGATAGCATAGCAGTAGGGCATTTGCCTTAAAAGCCGCCAACATGGCCAACCCGAGTTCGATTCCTCCATCCCTCTCTGAGAGCCCGGCAAGCTACTGAGAGTATCTAGCCTGCACAGCAGAGCCTGGCAAGCTACCCGTGACATATTCCATATGCCAAACACAGTAACAACAAGTCTCATGATGGAGACGTTACTGGGCCCACTGGAGCAAATCGATGAACAACGGGAGAACCGTGACCGTTGTCCTTTTATTAGTGCTTGGAGACCATAAGAACCAGGTATACCCATCTACCCCACCAGTAGTTCTCAATTGGCTACAAAATGCCGTAGGTCAAGCTTAGGGCTGTTGCATCAATAGCAGATGGGCTATCAGTAGATTAACCTCTCTGTGAGGAGCAACCTCCAATCACAGGGCCAGAAATAGCCCCATTGAGACACTAAGATTTATAAAATGTATGTAGGTTCATATAATTAACTGATATTTCAAGTTGAAATATACCCATCTTTCCACTCAAACCTCCATATAATACTCTCAGCTTCCCACAATATTATTGGGAAGTGCAAGGGGAGGATTTAAATAGAATCAGAAGATTATGTAGAATGCAAAGACTTGATGCCCAATCCCATCTATTTTATCCATGGCCTTATTCCCAGGCAGCAACACCCCTGACCATGAGAACTTCCTCCCAAGCAGGAGCAGGGGACAGAGCTGGCAAGACTCCAATGTTGCCCAGAAAGTACCTGCTCCTCCTTGCTGTCAACCACCAGCAGATGTGCCCGCATCCCTCTACAGTGCTTCTCACTGTCAGTCCAGTTTTTTTTCTCAGAAGAAAAAAAGTAGCAATTTGAACTAAATGGCTTCCAGTTCTTCGGGCAGCAGCTCCAGGATTTACCTGTGTTGATACTTGGGCAGATTAGTACAATATAAGACAAGTAATTTTTTTGTATGGGAATTACACCCAGCAGTGTTCAGGGGCTACTCCTGGCTCTATGCTCAGGAATAAGCATTGATCATCCTTAGGGGGTAATATTTGGTGCTATAAATAAACCATGGTTAAATACATACTAGTGTCATAATCCCTTGGCCAGAGACAAGTAATTTTAAGTATGTGTGCTGTTAAAATTTAAAGAGCAAAAGACATCTCCTGGAATCACAATGCCCGTGTTCACCAAATAGTAAGTAGGATCCGTCCCCATCAGGCCTCGTGTAGGTCAAGCACACCTACATCAGGCAGTAACAGGCATTTCCCCATTTCCTTGCCTGTGTATAGTCAGGGAAGGTAGCCAGAACCAAAATATTTTTCAGTGCCCCAGAGGTGGGAGCTGGAGAAAGGACCCAGTTGGTAGGGTGCTTGCCTGTACCTGGCAGATCTGAATTCAATATATAGTACCACAAATGGTCCCCTGGGCCTCATCTGGAGTGATCCCAATGTGTAGTGCCAGGAATAGCCCTGAAAACCACAAAATGGATGTGGGGATGAGGAAACCTTAAAAAAAAAAAAAAGGATCAGGGGCTGGAGAGATAGCACAGAGGGTAGGGCATTTGCCTTGCACGCAGCCAATCCGGGTTTGATTCCCAGCATCCCATATGGTCCCCTGAGCACAGCCAGGAGTAACTCCTGAGTGCAGAGCCAGGAGTAACCCCTGTGCATCACCAGGTGTGACCCAAAAAATGAAAAAAAAAAGAGATTCAGAATCTCAGAAGAAAATGCAAAAATGTCCCGTTTTCAATGGAAAATTTCTCTTTATAGCAAGAATCACCCATGGTTAAAATTGTGTTCCACTAAAAACATATGCTGGAACTGTGAACCTTAATGATATTATATTTAGAGGTGAGCCTTTTAGCAAATAAGTTTGGTTAAGTTGAGTCAGAAGAGTGGGACTTTTAACCCAGTAAAACTTTTAACCTTTCAAAAAGAGGAAATGTTTCTCCCTCTCACTCCCACCCTCTCTCCTTCTTCTCCATCTCTCCTTCTTCCTCCTTTCTGTCTATGTTCTCTTTCTCCCTCTTTATTTCCTTCGCTCTTCTCCTTTCCTTCTCTCACTCTTTCCTTCACCCCTCTTCCTGCCCTATGTAAAGATGAGAAGTCATTTGAGGACACAGCAAGAAAACAGTTATCAGTGAGCCAGAGACACCTTTCTCAACAGAAACTAATCCTGTTGGTACCTGACCTCAGCCCTTCAGCCATAAGAAAATAACTATCTGCTGCTTAAGGTGTCAGTTTGTGTTGTCATTGCAACCCAAAATGGCATTGTGTTGCCCTTCTGGTATCTTCAAGTGTGGAGGAAACGGAAATGAAACAATATCAGAACCATCAACTCTATCTAATAAGCTTGTTGCGCGTTCTCTAAGAAACCATTTATATGCATGAAAGATTTGTGTTTTCTTAAAAATAACAACTGTATTAGATTTCTCTTGAGGAAGTCAGTTTTAACAGACATGTAAGGGAAATAAGAGTAAACATAGACTGAAGAAATCCAATGGAGTGATAGTACAGTGGGCAGTGCAATTGCTTTCCATATGGCTAATCTGTACTTTAACCCTGATACCCCATAATGTACTCAGAGCCAACAAAAGTGATCTCTAAATGAAGAACCAGGTTAAGGTTTCACCACCCAGTGTGGCAAAAAAGAGAAGAAACCAAAAGCTATGCAATCACATTTTCACAGATTAATCAAAGATATGCTCAAAAGATAATTTAAGCCTTATATATATCTACACTTTTAACTATTTTGAAATAGTACTTAAGTATGCTTTACCCATGAAACACACTGGAACTTTTGATTTTTTTTACCTTACCCTTATATTCAGCTACTCATTATAGACCTATTAGCTCTTACCTTCCATGGTCAAATTTTCTTTCCTACATTCCAACAAAGTGTGAATCACTTCTTGGGTAAACGTTTCTTCTTGAACAAGTTTAAAACAGTTTTGAAAGAAAGCTAGAAAAAAAATAATACCATTCATTTTAATTGTACTGCTAAGGCTTTTCCCTTTACTGTTACTTTCTTGAATGAAACCCACTAATACAATTTTTTAAAAGAAGTAGAAAGATGCTAACTGTGAAAAAATATTTCATTGCCAAGCATTCAACACATTCTAATCCTACAGATGTTGAAACTGAGTATATTTTTCAAATGGAATAAAGGATGCTATGACAATTCTTGTATAATGAACCTAAGGGTAATTAATTATCCATCCTCATGTTCAATAAGTGGGTGAAAGACATGCAAATACTAAGCATTGGGGAAAGAAGAAGAGGTGAGAAATGGTTAAACATTTCCATCTGAGAATGTAAAATCATGTCTTTGGGGAAGAAAACCATCAATTCTGAGATCTAGGTTACCAGTAGACAATTTTTTAAACCTAATTAAGAGGAAATAGCACTTGTTTCTTTATCCTTTTCCTTTTCATCTATCCCAACTGTCACTCCTTTGTACACCAGTACACTCAATCCCTCACAATTTGGAGATAGATCTACCTCCCCCTGTAAATAGTGAAATTTGTCTTTTACCCCCTCACCTCACTCTATCTCCCTGACCAACAATGCTGCCTTCCACTTCACCTTCCACTCTTTTAATGTTCCAACCACATGCTTGGAACACTTCTTAAGGTTCTTTTCTTGGGATCACTGATAGCTGACTATCACTGATAGTCAATGATAGTTGGAAGGATCAATCGGAATGGGAGATGTGTGTTGAAAGTAGATAAATGACCAAACGTGATAGCTTCTCAGTATCTATATTGCAAACCATAATACCCAAAAGTAGAGAGAGAGGCTATGAGAAAAATTGTCTTCCATAGAGGCACGGGGAGGGTTGGGATGGGGAGGGTATACTGGGGACATTCGTGGTGGAAAATATGATTTGGTGGAGGGATGGGTGTTCGATCATTGTATGACTGAAACTCAAACATGAAAGCTGTGTAACTGTATGTCATGGTGATTCAATTTTAAAAAATAGCTCTCTTCTTAACCTCTTGCAATTCTTGACCTCTATCAATTCTTGAACTCAGCTCTCTTCACTTCATTAATGGAACCCCACTGTTTCCTGATTCTGCCTCATCTTTACTTATGATGTTTCTTTTTTTAAAATTTTTTTATTAGTGACACACCATGTGGTACAGTTGTTGACCTTACAAGATTTTGTACTTGGGTTTTGTTCATACAATGATTGAGTATCCATCCCTCCACCAGTGCCCATTTTCCACCAACAATGGTCCCAGTAACCCTCCCAAACCTCCCATATCCCCATCCCATCCCACTTCTGTGGCAGGGAATTCCCTTTTGTTCTTTCTCTGCTCTTGGTTGCTAAGGTTTGCAAGAGAAGCATTGAGTGGCAAATATGTTCGGTCTATAGTCTACTTTCAGCATGCTTCTCCCATCCTGGGAGAATCCTCCCAACACCCTTTGCTTGGCGTTCCCTTCTCTGTTTGAGCTGCCCTTTCCCATAGCATGTATGACTGGCCTTCAAGCCATGGAGTAAACCTCCTGTAACTTATCTTGACTATTCTAGGATGTTGATCTCCTGTTTTGTTATTTTATATTCCTCAGATGAATGCAATCTTTCTATGTCTGTCCCTCTCTTTCTGACTCATTTCACTTAACATGATACTTTCCATGTAATACCATTTGTATGTAAATTTCATGACTTCGTCTTTTCTAACAGCTGCATAGTACTCTATTGTATAGATGAACCAAAGTTTCTTTAACCAATATGATGCTTCTTTTTTTCAACTTTTTATTGATTCATTGTGAGATAGGTCTTTCCAAAGCTGTTCATGAATAGGTTTCAGTCATACATTTTTCCAACACCCATCCCTCCACCAGTGTACATTTCCCAGCACCAGTGTCCCCAGGTTCCCTTCCATCACCCCCCACCTGCCACCCCCTTTCTGATGTTTCTTAATCTCCGTAGTCTTCTTGAATCTTTTAAAAAGCTAATATTCCGACAGCATTCAGCCGAAGAGAAGGACAACATGGAGGGCAGGATCCACAGATCCCGAAGGAAAAAAAAAAACAGGTTCCAAAAAGAGCCAAGATCATCGGGAAGCCCCAGATGGGGTAGGTACCGCATCCCGCCTCCCCCAGATGGAACCCCGGTGACCAGAAGCCTCTACAACCACAGCTCGAGTATGCGGGAACTTGGACTTTTCCTCAAATCTGCCGGGACTACAACTCCCAGGAAACCTCAGATTCCGGAAGTCACGCCCACAGCCCGCCCCCCAGCGCCATATTTACAGCATTCAGCCGAAGAGAAGGACAACATGGAGGGCGGGATCCACAGATCCCGAAGGAAAAAAAAAAAAAACAGGTTCCAAAAAGAGCCGAGATCATCAGGAAGCCCCAGATGGGGTAGGTACCGCATCCCGCCTCCCCCAGATGGAACCCCGGTGACCAGAAGCCTCTACAACCACAGCTGGAGTATGCGGGAACTAGGACTTTTCCTCAAAACCACGACGCGGCCGACATCTCTCTATATACAAAGTGATCCATGGGAAGTAAACCACCCAACGTTTCTCTCTGAAAATCATAGTTAAGTTTGGAGCACGGCCACAGCCCCAGAAACACAAGGACTTAATGCATAACCCAGCAGCTTGGAGCAGAAAAGTGAACGGGCTATGCGTTAATCCAGGCCATCATGACTGTCCAGAGGGGAAAGGGTGTTGCCCCATTCGCCCTCTCCTCTCTGGAAAGAAAGATGGCGGCCACATGGGAGCCTTGTGGACAGCAGGTATGAGCCGGGGAGTGGGGGCGACTAAAACCTCATGGGAAGGGGGGCGTTTCGGTCCGCCCTTCACGCCCTACCGAGGTCACCAGTTGCCCCCATGAGCGGCTCTCCAGCACGGCCACAGCCCCAGAAGCACAAGGACTTAATGCAGAACCCCGCAGCTTGGAGCAGAAAAGTGAAAGGACTATGCGTTAATCCAGGCCATCATGTCTGCCTGGAGGGGAAAGGGTGTTGGTCCCTTCCGCCCTCCTCCCTCTGGAAAGAAAGATGGCGGCCACATGGGAGCCTTGTGGACAGCAGGTATGAGCCGGGGGTGTGGGGGCGACTAAAACCTCATGGGAAGGGGGGCCTTCCGGTCCGTCCTTCGCGCCCTACCGAGGTCACCAGTTGCCCCCCGCGAGCGGCTCTCCAGCACGGCCACGGCCCCAGAAGCACAAGGACTTAATGCAGAACCCGGCAGCTTGGAGCAGAAAAGTGAACGGACTATGCGTTAATCCAGGCCATCAGGTCTGTCCGGAGGGGAAAGGGTGTTGCCCCAGTCGCCTTCTCCTCTCTGGAAAGAAAGATGGCGGCTGCATGGGAGCCTTGTGGACAGCAGGTATGAGCCGGGGGACTGGGGGCGACTAAAACCTCATGGGAAGGGGGGCGTTTCAGTCCACCCTTCATGCCCTACCGAGGCCACCAGTTGCCCCCCACTAGCGGCTCTCCAGCACGGCCACGACTCCAGAGCACAGAAACCAATTTCTTAACTATCTGACTTTCAGTAGAAATACTTCCAGGGTCAATAAGTAAAATAGCAGAAATCGAAAACCAACATGTAATTCTTGAACCCAGCTGTAGAAAGCAAATCACTTCACAATGCTTTGTCAGCATGTCTGATGGGGGGGGGGAGTAAACTCTAAATAATAGTGGTGAATCTTTTATTGAAACAATGAATCTAATCAAAGCAGATAGAGTGTTAACTAGAATTCATCTGCCCCACAGGGACTGGGAGGGGTGGGGGGTGGGGTTTTATTGGGGTTCTTCATGGTAAAAAATAAGTTTTGGTAAAGGGAAATGTGCTTGATATTTGCATGACTGAGACCTAAGCCTGAAGGCTTTGTGACCTTTCCCATGGTGATTCAATAAATAAATAAATAAATTTAAAAAAAATAAAAATAAAAAGCTAATATTCCTCACATTTATTGCTCATGCTTTTAAAATTTTTTTTAAGTTCCTCTTTATCCATTCTTATTTCAATTGTAACATTTCTTATCTTCCATCTCATTGGGAAGCATCTCCCCAAATGATAACATGAGTAACAATGTTTACATCTGCTACATGTAATAATAATTCTGAAATAGAGGCTCATTTCCAAAAGCCAGACAGTGTCTCCCACTAGACATGTCCTCTGGAGGTTCTGAAACTCAATGTACCAAAATTTAAATCACCATCTTCACTCATAAACCTGCTACCCATCCTACAGTATACACCCCTGTGAATGTCTCCATTTTGCGTTCATCAGCTGAAAACACCTGAACCACTCTTGAGTTCTTTTAATACCTTATCTTTAGGAATAGAGAAGGGACCACTTAGTCAATGGTGGTTGGAGGGATCACTTGGGTGGAAGATGTGTGCTGAAAGTAGGTAAAGGACCAAAGAGGATGATCTCTCAGTATCTGTATTGCAAACCCTTAGGCCCAAGAGTTGAGTATGGGGAAATTCTCTGTCAGGGAGTCAGAGGGAGTGTGGGAAAGGAGGGGGGGTATACTGGGGAGATTGGCCATGGATAATGTGCACTGGTGTAGAGATATGTGTTTGATCATTGTTTGATTGTAACTCAAACATGAAAGCTTGTAACTGTGTTTCACGGGGATATAATTTTTTTTTAAAAAATCTTATCTTTAGAGCTCAGTATTCATCAAGTCTCTACCACTTTGATACAACCTTCTCATTATCATTCAAATAATATGATGTGGTACCATCATTCAAGTGATGGTATCATCACTACCTTCTGTTAGCCTCTTCTCTTTACTACCACAAACCTTAACACAAGTTTTCACTGTTTGGCAAACAGATAATAAATTGGTATTCTATTTTCTGTTTTCAACTTTGTCCTGCCATGTTAAATTAACACTGTCAAATGTATATTTCTTCTATATGTCACATTTGATCACCATATCTCTTCCAGTTTTTAAATTCTACAGTGACTCTCAATTACTTTGATATATTCA